GCGGTTTCGCCTTTCTAAGAAAAGAAAAAAAAAAGAAAAAAAAAAAAAAAGAAAAGAACAGAGAGAGGAAAAAGGCAACTCACCAAGGGGTTGAGGCTCTTGCCGCTTGCTGCAACACTTGCCCATCTTGGATCACCACGTGCTCGGATCCTCGTTTTCCCCTTTTCAGATCCTGACTCTACTCAGCCTTCGATGCTGACACGTGCCCCGAGGAAATTCTCCATCTCCGTCGTGAACTCGTATCGGGAGCTTGTATCGCGCGGCCGTTCCGCTTCCCCTTTTGCCGCTTTCAGCGTCACTTTCTCTCCATCGCGTGTTTATCGAATCCGCGCACCTGTAAACCGTGAATCGCGAGCCATGATTACTAGCTCCTCGACTATGACTGCGACGAATTTGTAAATCACAATTCTGGCGCTTTTCCTCGAGCTCGACGTACACCCCCATAAGTCACCATAAACCACCGTACACTTGATAAAATTAAGGTGCGATTACGATTTACTTTGGGAATGACTTGACAATTCCGTGTGACTACGACGGCTACATCACAATCTCAACTTTATTATTGTCCTCTGAATCTTTCAAATTTCAACTAATTTGTTACAGATTTTTTCGAATTCGTTGCTCTACGTTTTATGTAAATTAGCTGTGGAAATTAGTTCGGAGCACAAATCTTCCTTTCGATTAAAATTGAGAATTTTAAATAGTAATACAAACGTGTTTGAGCAAGAAATCGCGAAAAATAAAAATTAAAAGATTGAACGATTAAAATTTGACCAAGTAAAATGATATTTCTCTAAATTTAAATGATTAATTTGTCTATTAAACACAACAATCCTTTCAGTTTGTATTACGAGACATCACGGTAGCGAAAGAGTTAATAATCGTTTTGTTCAGAATGAGCAAGTGTCCGGTAACTTATGGAGTGTATGTGGTCTTTTGAATTCGATCGTTTTGAATATCGCGCCTTTTTTAGATCATATACGAGACACCGGCGTCTAGGGACTTTTGCTTTAAAGTCCAAGCAATCGTCACATTCGAATCTCGCTGTCTCGACGTAGAATTTGACATTTTCTGGACGAGCGCCGATTACTATCGCAGATTTCACACAGATTTCGTCAGTTCTGTAACGATTTGCGATTTCCACTGCAGTTTGTCAAAACAAAAGTCCCTAGTATTAATCCCTATTTTAATACTAGTCCCTATTAATCACAATTTTAATACTAGTATTCAAATGAAAATAAAAATTAATATTAAATTAAATGAAAAATAGTATTAATTAAAATTAAAATTAATACCAGTATTAAAATAAAAATTTTAGTATTAAAATTGTGATTAATAGGGACTAGTATTAAAATAGGGATTAATACTAGGGACTTTTGTTTTAAAGTCTGTCGTCCGATGTCTCTTACAAATTTCACAATTTTAATACTAGTCGACTACAACGTATGAAAGGATCAGCGATTCGAACGAAAGAAAGAGAGAGAGAGAAAGAGAGAGGCATTTTATAATCCTGACGTAACTGTCACGCCAAGGAGGAACGGAATTTTCTTTTCTTCCCGGCAGGGAAATTGCTTTCACCGGTGGATCCCCAGCTCACACCGGTGGATCATCGATCACGTGGTATTTAAAGAGAAGGCTCGCAACGCCCGCGTTTCCTTGTTCCTCCTCTTCTATTTTTCTTCTTCTCTTTTTTTTCAACGTCGCGTCGTGCATCTTCCTCCAGCGGAGGCTCGCGTGTTACTTTCCGGTGCGAGACAAATCAGACAGGCGGCCTCTGTTTCCGAGTAACACGCTAAATTAGAACGAGCGCGACGGTGGGGCCCGGAGAATGCTAACTAGCCGATTGTTCTCGTTCGTAGACACGGCGGAACGCTCCCAAAGAGAAAAAAATGTTCTTTTTCTCTCGCCTCGTTCGCTGAATACCTTTAATCCGTAATTAACATGCCGCGCGTCCAGTGATAAATGTTACTTGGATTAATTTTCCCGGCTGCTTGATGAGTCATTTACTCTTTCTGCCACCCGCTCTTTCATCTCGCGCATAGATTGGAAATTTTCGTCAAAGAAGCTTCTTTCACAAACGAATTTTTTCTACGTTCAAGTGTCACCCCCCCCCCCCCTGAATTTTTTTTATTATTTTTTTAACTGTGAGAATGCAAAAGATATCTTACACGTAATTTGAAGGAACAACAAGCAGTTGTAAATATCCCGCGAGCGTTGCCTCTTTCCTTTTTCTCTAAGTTTTCAAGTTATCTGTGTTTTTTTTCTAGATAATAACTAGATTCATTTTTCAATATTAAATATAACAATATAATAATATTAATATTAAATATAAATATTAAATATTATTATATAATCATAAATAAATATATATAAATATAAATTATAATATTAATATTAAATATAAATATTAATATTAATATAATCACAAATAAATATATATAAATATAAATTATAATATTAATATTAAATATAAATATTAATATTAATATAATCACAAATAAATATATATAAATATAAATTATAATATTAAATATTATTATACAACCATAAATAAATATATATAAATATAAATTATAATATTGTTATATAATCACAAATAAATATACATAAATATAAATTATAATATTAATATTAAAGTATTGTTTACTTTTTAAAGTCGCATCGCGTGGCTTGAAACTGTAGAAATACATTCAGACGTGCAAGCATGACGTGTTCAAGTAACCCTGAACCCCCTGAAAATGAAGGTTAAACTTAAAATTCTGAAAAGAACGCGGGCTTTGAGAAGGATGCGAGAGGCGACATTTTGAATGCAGCGTTGCAACAAAAGCAAGCGGCAAAGTGCTTTAGAAATTTCACCGTTAACTCCAACGTTATCGTTTCATTTAACACTCGCTTAACTCTTCGTTTCGTTCGTTGTGCCCCGTTGACTGCGACAACGAGAAATCTCAACGAAAGTCAAGGGCCGTGCTCGATGTGTGTATGTACGTCTCTTGTCAGCGTAGGTCGGCCAAACAGGAATAAATAAACGGACGGCCGCAGGGGGAGTTCATTTCGAGAAACACGACGACGATGCCTCCTCTATGAAACACCATTGCACACCGTGCGTAATTACGAAGTTGGGAATTCCAAGTTTCCTTCCGGGGGGAAACGGGAGGGCTTGTTACGTTGCAAAAGTGGCAAGCGACTTGTGCAAATCAACTTTATGCCGGCCTCCGAATTCTGCGGGGATGAATCGCACGTGATAAAAATTCGCTCGACTCCGCTCGGGTTGTACGCGCGGCAAATGTTAACGGAGAACATCCAACGAAGAGAGTCCGTGTCAGCCGCGTCGGCGCGAGGTTCAAAGTCGGAACGCTCGCGTTTGAATGAAAGAAATTGTTATTGTATACAGGTTGAGAAGGGAAAACTATCTGTACGTATGTGAAGGAAACAAGAAACAAAAATTATACAAGTAGATAACGTAACCTGGATTTGAACGTGTTTATCCGTGTATGAGTGCGTACATGGCAAGTATATACGGAGAATAACAAATAGTTACACATGTGTTAAGAACACGGGAGTGATTCGCGGATACATGACATATGGATACACGTGTCTCTTTAGTAGACGTTAGAGATAAATCTCTAGACCAGTGACGGCGAAGTAGGTCAAATTTTGTTCATTATTTTTTTTAGTACTAGCTCGTGGATTACTAAGTCAGTGGCGTCACTTGGAAAGGGGAAGGGGAGAAATGGTTAAAACCTACTTTTTCTTTTGGTTCTCACTTTTATAATCCTCTAAAAAGTTTACGTTTCCTTTTTGTTTGACAACTTTTACTTTTGCGAGTGAAGAGCAATAAAGAGAAATAAATGTCGACGTCAAAAAATTGATATAAAAGGGGCGACATCGTGCCCAGTCACCCCTGCATTATACATTAGATATATATACTTTATTTCTTAATATTCTTTATTGTCTGTTCTCTCTTTTATTATATAAAAAAACTAGCAAAGAGAATGGGATCTAGTTGTGTTTTTAGTGTTTATTACATCTGTTTAATCGTAAGCGCTGTATAAAATTTTTTGGACACAAGTAACTCATATAACATTTAAGACTTAAAATACCTATATGTATACATAACCAAGTCGTAAATCCTCCATAAAACACAATTATGCATTTATTTCTCACTTTCAAGCTTTAACCGAACACTTGTAATTTTTTTAACATTTTTTTGAAAAGAGGGGTTCGAAAAATAATTAAAATTCTTTTATATATATGATGATAAGTTTATAAAAATCAACGTGTGGGTCATTTAAGAAGCCTGCGTGGGTCAGTGTCATAGATTCGCCATCATTGCTCTAGACTCTAATTATAATAAATTCTACTATATATGCTATTTGATATATTTTAGTATACAGGTATCTCTCTTTTTATTCTTGTATTCTCGTTCTTTTCATCAGGTAAATACACATCCTATGTGTATATTCGTTAATTGTACTTGTTGTACAGGGTCAATCAAAATCACTTTCTACTAAAATAAATCTGTAACTTTTTTTATTATATATATATATATATATTTTTTTTATTTGCGATTTTTAGTTGCTCTGGCGATCAACATTTGAAAGAAATAATTTTTAAGACATAATAAAAAAAATCATGTTTAGATTTAATTTAAAATTAATAAAATCAGTATTTTCTTATATTTTGATGTTTCATCCAAAAAAAAAAAACATTATGTGAGAAAAAACTTTGGCTTTCGCTCAATACACGCATCTTTCACTCGGAAAGTTTTCTCAATTGTTTCTTCTTTTCTAGATTTTTTTAGATTCGATATGGATCCGAAATTTTTCCCAAAATACAAAATTTCCCTGATACAAATCATTGCATACTAGAATTTTAAACATGTTTCCTCGGACTCTCTGTAATTGGCGATTAGGCACGATGAAACGTCACTGAAATGTTTAATCTGAAGCGAGGAAATGTAAAACTGAAATTTCAACGCTCGCAGAGTCCTTGTTTTAACTTTAAAGGAAGAAGCTTCGACAACTTTCCCGCAGTGATAACTCTCGAGGAAAAGAAAAAAAAGTTATTTCTCTCGGTAAAAGTGCGGCGTAATATTCCTCAAGAGATTAATAATTCTTGGATTTTACAAGGTTCGGAGCGCGCTCTCTCTCTCTTTCTCTCGTTTCTTACGTCGCGAACTTCGATTATTGTTCCTAACTAAACTTTTTCAATCTGTTCACTCGAACAAGCTCGCTCAATTGTTCCTCTATAGTTTCTGATTTTTCAACTACGCTGTCATTTATCTTTTTTTTCTTTTTTTTTTCTTTTCTTTCCCTCCCACTCGTTTACGATCTC